TGTTTATATTTTCATTGGGCTGATGTGAAATAAGATTATTAGGTCCTTTTAAAATTTATTGAATGACAAAATGTTCTTATAACAAATATAAATTTTTGAAATATGTCTTTAGGACATCAAATGTCAAAGTTGTAGGGAAAATGTGTCCTCCTTAGAAAAGCACTGAAGAAACACAGAGCAAGAGTCATAAAAAATATTGATTGGCTTTGCCCAAGTCTCCTCTACTTCTACGAATTTATTCTAAGAAAATCATTTAAGAGAAACAGGGGTCTTTGAAAATGCCAAGGGCAACATTATTTAAACATACGAAAAAATAGCAACCTTCAAATATAAGGTTTACATAGTTACAGAATATACACATTGTCATCTATAAAAGCAATAAACATACTGGAAAAACAGAAAAGACCTAAGTGAAACAGAATTTAAGAATTTCTATACTAACTGCAACTACAGGAAATGTATACATACAAGGTTAAAACGGAATTGAAGCTACAAACATGAAAACAATTGTTTTAAGCTCATGAAAATATTAGAAATACCTGTTTTTTCTACCAAATTCCTCTACTGTCATCTCACAATCTTTCATTTGTGCTTAAATACATTTCAAGCAAAAGCACAGCTTTACTATTTCTCTGACGACAGAGAAGCTGAAGAGGACTGTAAGACTAGAGAGTATTACTTCAAAGAGTTGAATGAAAATGTTGGTAACATGTTCTGAATGTAAAATGGTGCAGCCACCATGGAAAACACATTTAAAAATTAAACAGAATTACCACACAATCCATTAATTCCACTTTTGAGTATATATTAAAAAGAAATGAAATCGGGGAACAGGTATGTGTATGCCCATGCTCACAGCATTATTCACAATAGCTACAAGGTGAAAGCAACTCAAGTGTTCATCAGTGGATGAATGGATAAACAAAATGTGGTATACAGATACAATGAAATATTATTTAGCTTTAAAAAAGAAGGAAATCTTGGCATACGTTACAACATGGATGAAACTTGAGGATATTATGCTAAGTGAAATAAGCCAGTCAAAAAGGACAAATACAGTATGATTCCACTTTTATGAGTTATCTAGAGTAGTTTTCATAAAGAGAGAAAATGGAGTGGTGGTCGCTAGAGGCTGAGGGAAGGGGGAGAAGGAGTTACTGTTCAATAGATGTAGAGTTTCAGTTGGGAAGATAAATGTTCTGGAAATGAATGGTGGTAGGCCAGATGCAGTGGCTCACACCTGTAATCCCAGCACTTTTGAAGGTCAAGGTGGGAGGATCGCTTGAGGCCAGGAGTTCAAGACCAGCCTGAGCAACACAGAAAGACTCCCATCTCTACAAAAAATAGAAAAATTAGCCATGTGGTGCTTGTAGTCCCAGCTACTCAGGAGTCTGAGGCAGGAGGATTGCTTGAGCCTAGGCATTTGAGGTTGCAGTGAGTTATGATGACGTCACTGCACTCTAGCCCGGGCAATAGAGCAATATAGAGCAAGACTCTGTCTCAAAAA